AAAAGAAATGAAAAGGAATCCTGGTCAGGATCCACATGAATGGATTTGCAGGTGTGTAGTTTGACCAGCCTGTTCTGCTCCATCCTTGACCGAGGGCGACTTGAACTGCCACAGATACATACGTTGTATGTGGGAGGACCAGGACAGGTTCCTTCACCTCATCTATAAGATGAGGATGATTTTACTTGCCCAACTATTCAGGTTGTGTGAACATCAGATGAGACCCTTCATGAAACAGCTTTCCCTCTGTAAAAAATACCACATAGGTGAAAGAGGACATTATTGCCAAAACTTTAATTCTTGGCAAGTTACTCTGTGAATTATTTTTCTCAACTGTATTTGCTGATTTCTCACATTGGAACTTGAAGTGCTAAATTTCTGTCTGTAGTAAGATTTTTGGTTGGTTTGTAAATTTAAAAAAAAGAAAAAGTTTGGTTGATTCCTAAAGAACGCTCGCAGCTCTAGTCACATAGTGCATTACGGTCATTGTGTTTAATGACCGGCTGGTTTGGCTTCGACCTTTACACAATTGATCAGAAATTAAGTAAGCATCATTCTGATAGTGTATCAGTCCCCTGTGTGTTTAAATAATAGTTTTGACAGAGTTATTAGGAGAGTTTTCTTAGCAACCATCCCAGTAAGTCGTGGGGAGAGAGAACCTGTTGTCCCCAAGGCAGCAAGAAAGTGACATTCAGGCGAGCCCTGGCATCCTCGGAGGCTGTAACTCCTCTTGAATTGCTCTTGGCTAACTTACAAATAGATACAATTAAACTAAGTACTTTTATGTGAATTAGTGCTAATTAATCCACATATATCCTTAGTTCTCTCGGGGGCTCTCATGTTTACCATTCAAAGCATACGCTTCAGAGCTTGTGCTGTAACTTTTGTGGTGGTAAGTTATTTCCAAAAGTCTTTTCTGGCTTTTGGACTCTGTGTGTTGAGAGATAAGGGGATGGTTTATGTTGGCAGAGTGCGGCTTCGAGCTTCCCTCGGTCCCAGAAGCAGCCATTCCTGTATCTGTGTTCCACTGGAGGGAACTGTCCCAGAATCAATATTTGCATAGGAAAGTTTCCCCCAACATATTCTTATTCTAATCAGATAAACGAACTCAGTTCATGAATCCAAGTAACTGCTTCCTCCTTGTTCTACACGAGCTGCACTATGAGAAGGCAGGAAGAGAAGCTGCCCCTTATATATTCCTAGACATTAATCTCACATTAAACGGTCAGTAAGACATTCCCTTTTAGGTGGCTAACTATGTGGTCTATGAGACTTCATGGGGGTGATTATAAAATCCTCTGAAGGCCACGATAAATAAGGTGTTTTCCCCAAGTGGTGTATGTGAAACCCTGGCTAAAATGCATTCTTGGAATCATATTTTTTCATTATTTCCAATAAAATTATGTTACGTGTTATAAGAGACCACACTCTTTTCTTCATTATCAAGGTGCTGAGGTTAAGAGTCTACTAGAACTTTGAGTGTCTCTTCGTTACCCACATTGCAATCAGTTGCTGAGTGACCTTTGCCACGTGCCTTTAACTTGTGTTTCTAATTCTTGCTCTGTTAATCAACATGTAACTCTGGGCTACACATTTTGAGGTCTTCAAATATGTGATAAGAAATGGAGCGGTGTTGTTGAGGATAAGCTAGAAATACAGGACTGAATTTTTATTTTATCCCAAGTATGCTTTTCTGCTAATCTCTTCTTCCTTTGGTTCTATTTATATGTACTAAGAATTATGCCTAAATCTCAAAAAATAGTGTGAACTCTCAATCATGAAATTGCTATTCACTGTCCTGCATATTGTATGATGCAGTATAATAAGGTGAGAAAAAGAAGTGCATAGACACCAGAACATTGTTGCTTTAGAAACAAAAACATGAATGTAATAGGCAAAAATACTTCAAAATTTAATTTTCTTTATTTTCATCAAAACTGAAACCTTAAAGGGCAAAAATTCAAATAAAGCATCAATTAAGTGCCAAGGTACGGTGGATACTTCATGTGGGCCAGCTTGTCCCCTGTAGGTATATTACTGAATTGCCCTCCAAAAACGTAATTCCCCATTACAGGATGAGGAAAGGCTTCTTATATTAGCTGTTAGTTTGCTTATTTCTACAGCCCATTGCATTTTTAAGTGGAGTTTCAGATGTTATTTTGTATTTTATTTTCCCCTTTTCATTTGTGCCTCTAGTTTTTCAAAGAAAACAGGAGTGCTTTTCTTTATTCTTCAAGTTCCTCCTCACTGGGCAACAGTAGCGTCAATGGAACGTTTTGTTGACAATAGAAGAAAAGCTTCTCTCCGATTCCACTCTTCTGGCCTTGCCCTTAAATGCTCAGCTGGTAGGAGTTATCCTAGTTATCCGTGGAGTTTAACAGAAGACTTTCCCTCCCCTCTTTTTTAATAAGTGGTTATGAAAGACGTAGCTCATATATGTAGGTGTAGTCAAGTTGTGCCGTTTTGGTCACTTGGGGAGACATTGTTCATCTCAGTTAATTTTTACAGAGCTCATGCTGCGTGCACAGCATTTTAGGTGGGTGCCATCGTAAGCACCACGCAGTGGGCGTAAAAGGCATATAAAAGCAAAAGGTGTGTGAAATAATGTTTTTAAAAATACAGAGCAAAGAGCATAGTACTTAAGAGTACACGAAACAGTGGAAACTGAATCCAAAAGTGCAGTGGGCGACCTCACTGTCGGTGAGGTTGCTATGTCTGGGGCCTGCTTTTGATGGAGACGGCAAGAAGAATAAGTGGTACAGTGTGTATGAGCAGTGCCTGATTCTACTTACAAATCACCCTGGATTACTTTTTCTTACTCATCTCCCTCCCCCACCTGCACAGTCCCCTGCCTCTCATATTCAGTTCATTGCCAAATGAACTCAAAAACACAGTTCAAGTCCTCCATGTTTCTTCAGCTCCTTGCCGCTTCCCTGGTCCATGCCCTGGTTATCTTTAGGCCAGATGTTAAGCCACGGTCACCTAACTGGACTCCTTGCTTCCTTCTTGCTCCTCGTAAGTCTGGTCTCCACAAAGCAGGCAAAAAGTACCTTTGAAAATAGATGCATCATGCAGTTCCCGATTTTAAAATTCCTTGGTGCGCCTCCGCATGTTCTTAGACTGACATCTGAATTGACCGTGGCCCATGGTCTCTCCAGGCTTGTCTTGCATCACTCTTACCTGTCTCGGGCAGTTCTGTCTCAACCTCGGGTCTCAGCCCACATATCACTTCCTCAGAGAAGCACCGTGCATGGCCTGCTCTCCGCAGTGACCTCCCCCAGTTGGTTTTCGGTCATTTCACCATTTATCATGATCTTTAACCCCATCTTATTTTTAAAGATTATTATTGTAATAATTATGATTGTTACTCGTTGGAACAGTAGTTGTTAGCTATCCCCCCAGCTAGTATGTGTACTTCGTGACGTCAGGGGCTTACCTATCTTGTTCACAGGAATGACCCCAGTGCCAGGCACCTAGTAGGTACTAAGTACATATTTGTTAAAATGGAAGAGCAGGCTATACAAGGAGAAAAATAATGAAATCGTAGAGTTTGGATCAGAGCTGGTACAATACGTTCTGATGTTAAATGTCAGGGTGAAGTGGGAGATGAGGAAGAAGCTGGAGAATTCAAGGAAGACCTTCTGTGATGAACAGTGTTCAGACTTGATGAGATAAGTGATACAGAGGCCAAAGCAGGGCACTTATTGTTATATTTTTTGAGACTGATTATTTAGCAGTTGTGCTCAAGCCCGATTTTATTAGGGAGAGGTTGGAATCAGGGGCTTTGTGGTAGGGGGTTATTGCACCAGTGCAGAAAGGGTGACAAGGACTTGGATAGGGAGATGCTGGGGAAGTATGGGAGAGGAGGTGGATTCAAGACTCCAAAGTTTGGAATTTTGTGGTAACAATGCTCTGTACAATCCAAATATAAAATATTGTGCTTCCTCTAGCAATCCCACTCCTGGGTATATACCCAGAGAAAACTCTAACTCGAAAAGGTACATGCACCCCAATGTTCATAGCCTCACTATTTACAATAGCCAGGACACGGAAGCAACCTAAGTGTCCATCCACAGGTGAATGGATAAAGAAGATGTGGCACATATATATACAATGGAATACTACTCAGTAATAAAGAAGAATGAAATAATGTCATTTACAGCAACATGGGTGGACCTAGAGATTAGCACACTAAGTGAAGTAAGTCAGATAGAGAAAGACAAATATCATATCATATCACTTATATGTGGAGTCTAAAAAAATGATACAAATGAACTTATTTACAAAACAGAAAGAGACTCACAGACATAGAAAACAAATTTATGGCTATCAGAGGGAAAAGGGGGGGTGATGGATAAATTAAGAGTTTGGGATTAGCTGATACACACTACTATATATAAACTAGATAAATAACAAGGCCCTACTGTATAGTACAGGGAGCTATATTCAGTGTCTTGTAATAACCTATAATGGAAAATAATCTGAAAAAGAATATATATATGTATAACTGAATCACTTTGCTGTACACTTGAAACTAACACAACATTGTAAATCAACTATATTTAAGTTTGAAAAAATCATGCTTCCTTCATTATATAACAGTAAACTATTAGCCAAAAAAATCACATAAAAAAAAAAAATGATGTTCTCACATGAACTGGATAGAAGCCTTCACCTCTACCCCAGCTCCCCCTTGGGTGAAATACGAAACTGACATGATGATGCCTTGATGGGTTGAGGTGACGAGGAAAATTGAGATCGGATTGCTCCAATGCCACTGATTTAACAAATGAGATAATGTACATGAAAAGTGCCTAGTGCTATTCGTTAAACTTTTCATCCAAATAATTTAAAAAGCAGTACTGATATTTACATTTTGGGACTCTACCTAACATTATTTTTTCCTGCCAGATTGCCATCTGAAAAGAAAATGACCTGAAACAATTTTCTTATGATGCTACATTTGTCTAATATTGCTCTTTTTCTTTTTTTTACTTAAGCAATTGAACAAGATGAAGAAAACAGTGACAAACACGTAACTGTGGCAGAGGCTGAAGGTGTTGCAGATCCTCAGGTGTGACAAGTTCTGTGACAGCCCCTCCTTACACCCTTCTTCTGTGGTGAGATAGCACAGGTGTTTGCAGTGCTACAGGTCTCACCTTTTGTGTTCTGTACAATAGTCATATTACGGGAATGAAGCACTTATTTTTGATAAGAGATATTTCACAAGAAAAACCTAAATTGCTCTTCATGTTTATAGTTTGATTCATGGGGGAGGGACAGATCCGGAGACATCCTTCACTTCCCAGAGACAGCAAGCAAAGTAAGTGAAGAACCAGGCGAGACCGCTGTAGGGTAGACTGTCCCCTGGAGATGGCAGAGGAGAATCAGCCGGCTGACAGCATGACAGCCGGGGCAGGGCCAGACAGATCAGTGCGATGCCTCACCTGGCGAAGTTTCTGTGCCCACCCCCAGCATTTACCTCGTGGTATGGACACGCTTTTAGTAGCAGCTGACCTCCAAATACTATGGCAGCATAAAAACTTTGGGTACCCTACTGCTATCAACTGTTAACTTTATGTAAGTGCAGAGCATTTAGAGATTCTTTGTGGGGACAGCAGGGCGAGAAGCAGAACAGATGGCATAAGGACATTCTTTTGCAAGCCCTCAACAATTCAACTCCACTCCTCAGAGTTCCACCCCCTTGACACCCAGCTATAGCCTTGTTTGATATGGCTAAGTACCTAGCTACCATAAGCCAGTTTGTTAACCCTTTTGAGTTTTAGGTGACTCATCTCTGAACCTACCTGATAGGGGAGTTGTGAGGATTAAAAAGAGAAGTATGTTGAATAAATAAGCCATTGCATTTTATTATACATAAGAACGAGAAAGGAGTGGGTCCAGGGGAGTGTGCTACTGAGAAATCGATCATGGTGTGTAGAGAGCCATGGGTTGATTGATCTACCCAGGCAGAAGAACCGGAGCTGCTCTATACTCAGGGGGAAAGGAGTGGAAAAACTCTGGAAACAGACAAGCCCGTTTGAGCCCTTACTCCATGCAGGGCGTTGCTCGGTTCTACTAGCTAGACCTCCAGAGGAAATGGCCTCTCAGGATTGCGGTGATGGTATGCTGGTATCACGCGGGTCCAAACTCATCAAAATGGATACATTAAATGTGTGTGACTTTTTGTATATTAAGTATATTTTGTATATACTTCTATATACTTGTATATTAAGTATATTTTGTATATTAAGTATATTAAGTATATTAAGTATACCTCAGTAGGAGAAAAAAAGATTCTTAGTTTGGTTGACCCCGCGCACTTCACCTTTAAAGTTGTAAGTCTGTGGATTCTGGTCAGAATAATCACATTAGCTTTCTCAGCCAGGGTTGCAGAGGTGGTCATGTTCTAGTAAGTTCATATAAGGACTTGTCTGGGATTGTTTTGCTGTGGTGATATTCAGAATGCTGCCATTCACAGGCTCATACTGAAATTATACTTCAGGCTTCCAAGCAAACCTGGGCAAGGATAGCTTTCTCAAAGGTTTCTTAAGGCATTAAGTTATTAGTAGGACAGTTTATTATTTAGTGTCTAAATTTAAACTGCTATTTTTAATTTATTTTGGACTTATTCTGTGGACAGAAGTCTGTTTTAACGCAATTTTATTCCTCTGTGTATCTCAAATGGATGCATAGACCTTGTTCTACGAGGTTTTGTGGTTTTTCTTCAGCAACGGTGACATCTCTGTGCATCTACAGAATGTACAGAGGAATGGAATCATGAAACCAATTGAAACCAGTGAATCGATAATTAGATCAGGAACAGATTCTCTTTAGGTTTGGAGAGTTATGAGTTAATTCACTGGGATGCATAATTATGTAGTCTTCAGAGTATATTTTAAACAAGTTAAGTGCTCACCGGTTTCTCATTCCTTCCCCGTACATGATGAATTATGTCACTATGGGGAAAATGTCCCCTGGCTGTTGAAAACTTTGGGTGTATAAAGGGTTAAGGCAGTCACTAACTCCAGAGAGAATGGGCCTTGCTGTACCCACGTTTACCACCTACCGGAAAACTCTAGTTCTCTCCTCATATGTTGATTCCTTTCTTTCCTTTCTCTCTAAAAATATCTTTTCTGCCTAGGAAACTCCCTATTTCCATGCAGTGATGTGTAGGAAGAGTGAAGGGAGCATGTAGCCTGGGGTTTACATCCCAGCCCTTCTTCCTCATAGCTGGTGCCTGGAGGCAAGTTCTTTATTGTCTCTAAACCAGTTCGTTCCTGTAGGGTGGCATCCGTGTCTTTGTCACCAAAGTGTCCCCACCATGCTAGGCAGTGACTAGCACGCTTGGTTTTCATCTTTGTAAAGTAGAGATGTTATAAAGTTGTCATGAGGTCGAAATGAAGCGACATAAAAATGCGTGCCACCCTGGCACATAAAAGAGTTTCCGTGAATGTCAGGCAGCGTCCATGAGGTTAAGAGTGTTGCCTCCTGGGCCGGGCTGCACTGTCACAGCAGCCCTGGGCAAGTTACACTACTCCCTGGCGCCCCATGTTCCTTTTCTGTAAGAGTATTGAGAGTTAACACTTAGACAGTACTTCAAAGGCACTCTTCTAAGCTCTTTGTTTTTATTAACATACTTAACCCTCACAACAAACCCTATGAGGCAGATGATATACTAACCACCACTTCACAGATGAGCTGCTAAGTGGTGGGGATGGGAATCCAGCCAAGGTAGTCTGGCTCCTACATCCTTGCTTTTAACCCCTTTGCTAAGCTGCCTTTCTAGCATCTGTAAAATGGAGACAATTGTTTTGAAGATCAAATGAATATATGTGACGCAGTTAGAACACTGCCTGGCACACAGTAAGTATAGCCTCCTGGAGTTATTATCATTGTCATGATCAGTATCACATTGCTTTCTGGTCTGAATATTTAAGGTATCTAACAGGACTGGGCTGCAGTGTTGCTCTGTCTGCCATTATGGTATCTGCACTTACAGAAAACATTCTAGACCCTTCACTCGTTGTAACCCTTTATTTAGGACTAAAGGATTAAAGAATCTTTATCAAATGTATAGAATTTTTGCAGGTTCTAGTGAGATATTCAATGAGTAATTTACAACATGCTGAACTTTGGAAATTCTTTCTTTTATTCGGGTGGCCATAGACCCCTGGATTCAGTAATTATTTTGTCTCCTATTCCTCCATTGGAATCACTCATTTTAATATTAAGTGATAATAACTGTCAATTATACAAATCGATTGCCACATAGTTCATGATTGTTTTATCAGCAAAGTGTGATTTAAAAAAAAAAATAGACTGAAGAAAGCTCTTATTTAAGGTTGTGATAGCTATCATAGGAAAGAGATGACCCTTTTCAATCCTTTGTGTTAGAATTTATTAAATTTACTTATTCTCTCTTTTTTAAAACTACTTTATTATTTGCCAGCTTTGCTGCTCTGGTTAGCAAAATGATCAGTAATGTATACAGATCTGAGCTGTAATTTCTCTCAGGTCAAAACAAGATAAAATATTGGTGACCTCCCTATTCTAGTCGGAAAATTCAAGGAATTAAATATATGTAATGAATGAACCCCTTACTTCATCGATTATGTAAATATGTAGTGTATTTAGTCTCATCAGAAGAGATAATGATATAAGTGTAATGGATTAAGAACATATTTAAGGGAAATAACAGTAATAAATTCCACGCAGCTACGGTTTCTGCCTCCTTCCCCGCCCCCGGCCCACTTTGGCAGGACACAGTATCACACGGTGTTTGTAGAGGATGGGTCTGTGTGACCAGTGTGGTGTATCAACACAGATAATTCCACAAGGGAGGGGGACTGGAGCAGTGAACCCCCCCTGAACTTGCACTGCCTCATCTGTACAGTGAGGGACCGGGAATCACTGAAAGCTTCCTAAGGCGCTATGATGCCCCAGCACGGTGTCTGAGGCCCGTCCTAGTGATGCCCTGGACATTAGTAAACCTGCCTTTACCATCACACTTTCTATCGCCTGTACTTTTCACTGTATGTTCTTTTCTCGATCCTTTCTGCAGTTACCAAAGGGTGTATTTTTCTATTCCAACCAGTAGGAAATTTGTCATAGTTTTCTTTCTCTGGAGGAATTTGAGAAAATGGATAATAAAATGAAATTTTTAAAATTATTCATTTATTATGAATTGTCTTCTGAATTTTCCTGGAAAGAATTCTACTTTCTGTGTTGGAAATAGGTAACGTATTACACCATCCCAGCCCATCAGAGTTTTATTCTGTCATTTGGACTTTGTGTTCAAAGTAACAAAAAAAAAATTTATGAATTTCTATTCAAGATTTAAGTTTGCAGAAATGGATCTATTATGTAATAATCAATACGAGTTTACCCGAATACCCTGAATTTGTATTGAAAAGCATTCTGTTATTACAAAAGTGCTTTCATGAAGGGTGGATTCTTTCATCCTGGTTTTCCTTCCCTTGATAGCAGTTTTTGCATGGTGTTTTAGAAAAGGTGATTTTTAAGGTTACGATAATGCAGAAAATGCTTCCATACATAGAACTTGTGCTCTTTCACCTTATGTCATAAAGGCTGTTCGTTTAGTTTGCAGTTTTTCCTAAGGGAATTCTGTCCAAGTTTCATTTCACCACTGAAAGAATGGACCAAACATTTCTATGACTCCATTTATAAAGGAAGCAGACTTTTCATTTGCATTGATAACATTTCTCTTCTCAAATACTGAAAATATATAAATAGCTTTAATTATGCATTACAGAGATTTTTTTTTTTCAAAGCAGACCTTGAAATAAGGCTCTTAAATAACTCTTCTGATGGTTACACATTAATCTTTTATTTTTTGCTGGCCTAACAGTGTTAGGTAAACTGTTTATAATTATTTTCACATAGATAAATTAAAATAGTCCAGGAATGTGAAAGTCTAGATCAAGGGCTGTTATCTTGCTTCTCCTGCCATAACAAAGCTCTCAAAATATATTAATAAATTCATGGCTTTTTTGAATTAAATCACTAAATTACAGAACTGTGAAAGGAACCCCCCAGAGAACATCTGGTTTA